TAAATGAAAGAAAATAAATAGAGATGAGGAAGGGAAGGCAAATAGCACATGACAAAAGTGTTGTTTTAAAGGTACTTTTCCATTACCAGGCTCTACAGTCTACATGCTATTTTAGTTCTGGCTTAGCATTAGCACTTAAATGCAGAAATTCATGGGTATATGGACCTGATTATATATGTATAAATATATATATATATAGGCCTATATATATGTGTATATGTATATATATATATATATATATATATATATATATATATATATATATATATATATATATATATATATATATATATATATATAGGCGATGTTTGGACAACAGTTTTACATTTGCTGTCACCTGTACGGAGAACACCTGGGCGTAGATTACGTCCCGACCCCCTCTGTTTCGTTATGCCAATGTTGGCAGAGGTAATATTTACACAATGCTAGAGACGATCTATATAGTGTGTATATGTTTGTGTGTATGCTTTTTGTTGCTTATTTAAAACTAAAATTCTAAGTCAGCGGTTCTCAACCTGGGTTGGGTCGAAACCCAGGGCTTCGGTAAGCCATTCTCATGTGTTCTATGGAGGCCAAGACACACACACACACACACACAACACCAGAGCAAGATAACATGTACCGTTATTATGGTATTTCAATATCTTGACGTCACGACACCTACGTCACGAATCGTGTCAACGCCACCTATAAAAGCGCACGTAGATCGTGAATAAACTTGCTGTGACGAGCATATTTTTTACTATATCGTGGTCCAGTAGTCGACTTATGATTGGCGTGATGGTACATAGTGTTATTTAAATACTATTTTTATCCCTTCACACTGACAATGTCGAGCAAAAAAAAACCAACATAGAATGTTAGCGCGCTAACTTAATGATTAGCAATGCCAAGAAACAGATGTCTGAAAGGCAGAACTCAGAAATCACACTTCTTCTTCGTTCTTAATTTTTAGTGTTGGAAGGGATCGAGCCTTATCTGCTAGAGGGTTTGAACTCGAGACTTTTTTCGAATTTATCAACCACGACTCGACCACGCCTCCATCAATTAAGGATACGTGTCAAATGGTTATGCGCCATTGAGGACATTGACTCTGATTTCAGCCTGCTTTTCTTTTTGGATTTGCTTCCATAGCCTTTGTCCAACCACGAACAAACTACAAGGCAGCAATTGACTCCTAGAAGAGTGGCTGTCCTCAGCTGATGAGGGTTCGAACTCGAGACTTTTCGGTTTAGCAACCATGAGCTTTACCGACTCGACCACGCAGACCCCCTAGAAATCACGCTGATTTGCAATAAATATTCATTATGTTTTTTTTAATGTCTTTTAATGCTTGTGTTATTTAAACACAGTGATGTTAATGGTGCTCGGCTCATTTTGTGTCAGTATAATAAATATACATGTGTTTTGAGTGTGAAACAAAAATCATATTTTATTTTTCTTATCAAGAAGATTCGGTAAATGTGCATAAAAAACTGGTTCGGTACCCCCAAAAAGGCAAAGAACCACTGGTCTACAGAGTTTCTTCCAGGCATCTCTTCTCATCTCCCCACCCCCCCCCCCCCCCACCCCCGAAAAAAGTCTACCCCCCCCCCCGAACGAAATGAAATTTATATAGGCAATATATACTTTTAACAGTGTCCGCCCCCCCCCCCTCCCCGCAAGAAAGTCTACCGAAAATTTCAAGTGCCCCCCCCCCCCCCCCCCCGGAGAAAAAAGTCTGGAAGAAACACTGCTGGTCTAAGTAGAGGTCTGCCTACTCTAGTTTCGTACACTAAGAAAGATGGTAGCATTTTATCGATCATATCCAGACATATAAATAAGCACAGGATAAATAAAGTAAAAAATAAAATTCAATTACCAAAGATAAATGTCATTTTAAAAAAATCAGTTGTTTATTTTAAAACGAAACCCACCTTATAATACATTTCAGTATGTGACCAAAGTAGGTTCACGCTACTTTTTATGATGCAATGACGCACATGCAAAGTTAAAATGCGGCAAAGTTCATTAAGCCTAATTAACATATGAGGGATTTGATCCCCGTATTTTAGTAGTTATAAAAATACTTTTAAAATAAATAAAAAAAAAAAAACAATTAACCTAAATCAACGACCGATGTAAACTAGGTCGATTAGGTGCAGTGATTCTTCCAGACTCTTTTTCTCCGGGGGTGCCTTTGAAATTTTTTTTTGGGGGGGGGGGGGGGGGCGGACAACAATTTCTGGGGGGGGGGGGGGGGGGGGGGGTGGTGGACACTGTCAAAAGTATATATTTTCTATATGAATTCCAGTTCGTTCGGGGGTGGGTGGTAAACTTTCTTCGGGGGGGGGGGGGGGGGGCGGTCACTAAATCCTTAAGTTTCAGTTTATGTGCAGGTTGGTGCTCAGTGGTGAAGATTAGATTAGAACCGTTGTAAGGCCAGTGAAGGTCACACGCGGTTCCAAGGTCGTACGACGTCTCCATTGATTGGTCCATTGTCTTTTAACTCTGTATTGATTTGGTGGTTGCTATTGATAGATCGTTCAGACAAGGCAGACCGACAAACAGACGAGGCAGACAGACAGACGGACAGACGGACAGACAGTCGACCAGACCAGACAATAGACAAACCAGACAGTCAGACAGACCAGACCAGACCAAACAGACAGACCAGACAGAGAAGACAGACAGACCAGATAGACATACTGACATGACCGGAATAACAAAAAAAAAAAAAAAAAAAAACGCTTTTACTATAAGAAAAACGGTAAACATAATTTTTGCTTTCATATTAACATTTATGACCGAGCTACGCGTTTAAACAAAGTGAGTTAATTATTCTCATTCATTACATAAAAAAAGTCAGTTAAAAAACCTTGTTTAGTTTAGGTATAATTTACATTTCTTTGAAGGAAAGTCTAAATTATAGTGTAAAATAGGGTCGTATATTATAAAAGTTACAATTCTGGTTTGTTTTCATTTTAGCTGATAATATTATTGGGGCTAGTTTTTTTTAATTTTTTTTTTTACTTTTTACTGGAGAAATCTCATGAATACAAATCCACTGATTAGATTTCTGGGACCTATTTTCCAGCTTTCAAATTTCTCAAAATAGCAACCATAGTTTAGTTACGTCACCGTGACGTCAGCGACATGAGCCGAACGGCGCGCTGTATTATTCAGTGGTTGCTATTTCGGGCGACCATAACTGTAATACAGCAAAAAAAAAAAAATCAAATTTCGAGGCTATTTTTGGAAGTTGAACAACGGGATTATCCGGGGAGGCTAGAATGTTAAAAGGGGGATAATTCAAAAGTTCCATTTGAACTCGTTGGTGTAGGGTGCACTTTTACTATTGAATTTACCGAAATCTTGTAAAAGAAATAAAAATAATAAATTGTTTGATATTCATGAGAATTATTTTTTAAAGCATAATATGATTCTAGGTTCATTGATGCAAATATTACTCATACAATACATACAAATTAAAAAAGTGTAAAACAGTAGTAATGCAATTTAAGTTCTATCGGTGTTGGTGATGTTGAGGGCAAGGAGTAAAAATAAAATTAATGTATTGTAATAAAATGAAATGTTAAGTATTATATATATATATATATATATATATATATATATATATATATATATATATATATATATATATCAGCTCCCCAATTTATATATATATATATATATATATATATATATATATATATATATATATATATATATATATACATATATGCGTATATATGCGTATATATGCCTATATATATATATATATATATATATATATATATATATATATATATATATCACATGCATATATTATTCAACTTCTAATCCAGGTGCACATATTGATTAACAATCGGTTGAGGAAATTAAAAATTGCAACAAATTGTAAAATATTGCTCATTCATGTTATTTAACTTCTTTTCCTGGTTAAGTAATTTTCATGACATGCATATATTGATTACAAATCGGTTAAACAAATTAATGAATAAAAACTTTCAGTAAAATATTCCCCATGCATATGTTGTTCAACTTCTATTCCGGGTTAAATAAACTTTACGCACCTGTTAATTACAAATCGGTTAATTAAGCAAATTAATGAATTACAACTTTCAGTAAAATATTCCACATGCAAATGTTGTTCAGGTTCTATTCCGGTTTAAATTATGTGGCGTGGACATATTGATTAAAAATCGGTTGAGCAAAGTTACAACGCTAAGCACGTGTGGTGAGTTTTATTTCAATTTTCTGACGAGAATATTTATAGGAACTCAACGGGGCACAAGGCAAAGGGGGGGGGGGGGGGGAGGGATACACTCTGTGACATGGTGATAGAGGTAGTTAGGCATTTAATGAGATGTATCAGGAGACAGGTAGTTACTTTTAATCAGAAATGTGGTTAGACAGGTAGTTAGTCTTTTAATCAGATATATGGTTAGACAGGTAGTTAGTTTTTTAGTAAGATACATGGTTAGATAGGTAGTTAGTCTTTTAATCAGAAATTTGGTTAGACAGGTAGTTAGTATTTTAATCAGAAATGTGGTTAGGCAGGTAGTTAGTCTTGTAGTCAGATACATGGTTAGACAGGTAGTTAGTCTTGTAGTCAGATACATGGTTAGACAGGTAGTTAGTCTTTTGATCATCAGATACATGGTTAGACTGATAGTAAGGTATTTTAAAAAATGTGTTCCAATTACTGGTGTCGAGAACTGCACTTAAAAAAAACCTTAATTAAGACAGTGCTCGTCACATTAGCTTTTTCTACCGGCTTGTGTGAAAAGGTTAGAATGGGATTAGTGTCAAGGTTACCGTAAGAAGGTCTGGGGTTAAGTCAGAGCGTAGGGTCAGGTCAAGGGGTCATGCCTCGGGTCAGGTCAAGGGTCATGCCTAGGGTAAGGTAAAATGTCATTCCTAGGGTCAGGTCCATTCCTAGGGCCAGGGATGTCATGCCCAGGGTTATGACAGTATTAAGAAGTGTTTAGGGTATGGGTCAGAGCTAGGGTCAGGATATGGGTCAGGGCAAGGGTCAGGATATGGGTCAGGGCAAGGGTCAGGATACGGATCAGAGCTCGCGTTGAAATCACATTTAAGAAAGCGATACTAAATAATTTTCTCATGTTCTCTATCGCCCCTTTAACACGCATTAAAACCAGACAACAGTCATAATGGAGCGCAGTTCTCTAATGCTTTGCAAAACCAGATAAGGTGGGGTGGGGGGGGGGTCAAGAAAATACTTGACCATGTTCAACACCCTGGGGAGTTGAATAAACTTGGTTTGTTTCAACAAAGATAAGCTAATCCGGGCGAAATTTGTTAGCCCGTTGTACTAATTTCACGAGAACTTCGTTTACACTGGATAATTATCTCCCAAACAAAATTAACCTGTGCCACCTACTCTTTTAAAACGATGGACTCGTCCTAACTCCTGTGGGTATATCCCGTTAATTTCCCCACCTGCCGAGTGGTCTACAGGGTTAACTAGTGACCTCCGCGTGTTGTAAACAAACGGAAGGATTTCCCTTTGTGTTTAGATGTTAGAGAAATAAACAGACCTTTCAGCTTGTAATCTCTAGTGTAAACACATGTTATATAATCGCTGGTGGGACAGGGTGGTGTGGTGTTAAGATATGTTTTTGTTTACTTGGTCGCAGCTAGGGTCAGGGCTAGTGTAAGGGCTATGGTCAGGGCTAGGGTCAGGGCTATGGTTATGGCAAGGGTCAGGGCTATGGTCAGGGCTAGGGTAAGGGCTATGGTTATGGCAAGGGTAAGGGCTAGGGTCAGGACTAGGGTAAGGGCTAGGGTGTTTAGATGTTAGAGAAATAAACAGACCGTTCGGCTTGTAATCTCTAGTGTAAACACATGTTATATAATCGCTCGCTGGTGGGACAGGCTGGTGTGGTGTTAAGGTATGTTTTTGTTTTGTTTGGTCGCCAGCTAGGGTCAGGGCTAGGGTCAGGGCTAGGGTAGGAGCTAGGGTAGGAGCTAGGGTCAGGGTAAAGGTTAGGGTCAGGGTTAGGACTAGGGTCAGGGCTAGGGTCAGGGTTAGGGTTAGGGTCATGGTTAGGGTCATGGTTAGGGTCAGGGTTAGGGTCAGGGTTAGGGTTAGGGTCAGGTGTAGGGTCAGGACTAGGGTCAGGGCTAGGGTCAGGGTTAGGGTCAGGTCTAGGGTCAGGTCTAGGGTCAGGGCTAGGGTCAAGCTTGGATGCGGCGAAGGATAGGGTTAGGGTTATGTATAGGGTGAGGGTTAGGGTAAGGGTTTGGATTATGGATAAGTTGAACGATAGGTCAGGGTTATGGATAAGGTGAGCGATATGGTCAGAGTTAGATTTATGGATTAGGGTTATGGAATTAGGATTATGGTTAGATTTAGTCCCAGATTTTGTGAATGTCAAATTACCAAATCCTAATATATTTTACCCGCCCCTCTATCACTTACCTTTATGTAACATTTCCCTTGACTTGTTAGTTGCTATATTATATCACCATACCATGACACCAATCCCTTTATCTCCATACAGTTTATTCTACAAAAAACTAGGCTATTTAAAAAATCACACGCAAAGAGAATATTATTTATCCTTTCAAATTTTGACTCAACTATTCTTAATTAATTTTTAAAATTTTATTTCAAAAATTAGAAATAATTTTTTTTAGAACTACCCCATCCCATTTATCACAATATAACAAAACTATAAACCACTACCCAACACTTTATGTGTTGTAGAACTTTGTTTAAGAAGATTCCATTATTATAGCATTTTATTAAACTAAGATAAATTATTCACCCAAGTATCACATTATAGTTTAGGCCCTTCATAGTGGAGTTGTGGTGTAAGGAATACACCGCTTCCTAATTCTTTACTAGTGCTTCTAGCCCCTTCACCATTATAACTTACCCAATTTGTAAACAAACAAATTATTTGTTTTATATTCAAGCCCTACACAGTTAAACCTTCCACTAGAAGTGCACGCCCCATCCCCAAACCCCCTCCCAAAAAAGTACCGACCCCCGCCAGTATACTGTCGTTTCTCGCCTATTCTTCCTCCTACACATATACCTGATTGTCGTTACAAAAAGTAAATAAAATAAACGTAAATCTAAAGACCAAAAAAAAAAAAAACGAATTTAAAAAACATTTGGAGAGTTGGCTCCCCTGTTTTTGTATTTTTATTACCTCCCTTCCCATCTCGGTCTGACCAACAGAAGGGGAGACTATCAGGCACTGTTTTATACAAAAAAAAAAAAAAAAAAAAAACACCGCTGGAATCAAAATTTAACATTATCACCTGTCTCTAGGAAATACTTTCGCCATATCTCTCCTACCACCCTTCCCTACACCCCCCCCTTTCGCCTTTTTTCTCCACCCCACCCCACCCCTTCATCCATCACGCCTGGCCAGTCAAGGCTTACACCCCTGGAATCAAAACTTTAAATAATCGTCTGCCTCTGAGGAATACTTTCTCCATCTTTCTTACACTCTCCCCCTTTAATCCCCCCACCGCCCCCCCCCCCCCCCCCCCCACCGCTATGCCTGTTCGTCTATCTCCCCTTCCCTTACACGAGTACCAATCCTTATCCCGACCACCCCATCTCCCATCCCCCTTTACCTGATTATTGCCTTATTATAGAAAGGAATGTCTACTACTAAATACCGTCCGTATTTGAAAGCAAAAAGATATGTTAGAAACAAATACGAGCCAGTGGCGTAGCTAGGCTAGGGCGAGGGGGTGAGGTTGAAATTTAGCATGTTTTAATATTTAAGAATGTCTAACATGCGTGTCGAAATTGAGAGTACATTCCCCTGTTCGAATATATTGTCGTGCCAAGATAGGTATCTAAACCTAACATACTCGCCAATAAATTGATTATTTTTTATCCGCTGATCAATAATAACATCCTATATTAATTATTTTTTTTCACAAAACACATTAAATACACGCACAAATTCCTTTTATTTAATTCAATACAGATGAGACGCTGAGATAAAATACCTAATTACATTGTAACGCTTCGTTTTACCACCTCTAGCATACATCTTTCACGGTGTAATAGTTTAGTTATCATAGATCTATGGGCACACATAAATATATTAATAACAAAAAGGAATAAAACTCCGTACTTAATAATGTTTAGAGAAAATCGATTAAAGAACATAAAATTAATATCAGCTATCAGCTACCATTTTTTTTATTGATTCTAATACATGAAATAGATATCGATAAAGTACATAGTTTAACTCGATTAAAATCCTAAAATAGTATTGATTTTCGTTACATCGTTGAAATAACGATTTTATAACACCCATTTAACATAACATAAACATATTTTTTAAGCTATTGTTTTGCTTCAGCGTATGATTCGAACGTTTGCAGATAGTAGTGTTTGCACGTTTATAATTTAAATTTATAAACTGAATAGGAAAATTAATTTTAGTACAGAAAAAAAGTTTAAAAAGGGATGTAATGGTGAGGATAGGGGGTACGTAAGAGAAGGCGCCTGGGGTGGGGACATGAGTTACTGCACCGCTGGGGGAAATACAATATTTTTGTAGAGCAAGGCAGATTTTTTTTTACCTGCATCTAAAGAGTAGTTGTGTGTACGAGTTGTTTTTATTTAGTGAAAAAATTAACAATTGTTAAATTAACAATTTACAGCTGATTTCCTTTTTTTAAAAAAAAAATACCATGGACCCTTACTGGGTCTATTTATCTTACTTTGTAGTGCTATAATTAATGAGGTATTTACGTTTATCAAAAGGTTAACACTAGGGGTGTAGAAGTGAGTAGGGAATAACGTTTCTCCTCAAGGGTCTAGTTCTAGATGGGGTTATGGGTCTCCTGTGGTTCAATGGGTCTGTCTTTGAGTGACTTATTGGTCGAGGCTTAGGGTAGGGTGTTTTTATAGGTTTAACTAGGGCAATCAGGCTAGGGATTTAACTAAGGGTCTACATTTTGGGATTATAGTCTAGCTATGGGTCTATCTATGGTCTAATTAGGACTATAATGCCAGGGGTTTAGTGATGGATCTGTCTAGTGATCTAACATGGGGTATTGGTCTAACTAGTGTCGATCTACGAGTCTAGTTAGAGGAAAAAGGTATATCTTATTTGTCCAAAGATCTAATTAGTGCTAACGGTTTGTCTATCTTACTAAAAAGCCAATAGTTCCAGAAAGGGTAACTAACAGTTTGAACCACGGAGCAGCTGGCAGATCAGCTAATAATGCAGACAACGGGGCTGCCAACAGTTCGGACAACGGGGCTGCCAACAGTTCGGACAACGGGGCAGCCAACAGTTCGGACAACGGGGCAGCCAACAGTTCGGACAACGGGGCAGCCAACAGTTCGGACAACGGGGCAGCCAACAGTTTGGACAACGGGGCTGCCAACAGTTCGGACAACGGGGCTGCCAACAGTTCGGACAACGGGGCTGCCAACAGTTCGGACAACGGGGCAGCCAACTGTTCGGACAACAGGGCAGCCAACTGTTCGGACAACAGGGCAGCCAACTGTTCGGACAACAGGGCAGCCAACAGTTCGGACAACGGAACAGCCAACAGTTCGGACAACGGTGCAGCTAATAGTTCAGATAACGAACGGCCAACAGTTTGAACAACGGGTCATCCAACAGTTCGAACTACGGAACAGCCAACATTTTGGACTACGGGACAGCCAATAGTTTTGACCACGGGGCAGCTAAAAGATCGGACAACGGGGCAGATAAAAGATCGGCCAGGACTCGGCGGTATTCGATCACGAGCCACTGTTGACACACACACGACCAAATCAGACAGGAGACGAATTCCTCGCCAGGCATTATCGATCGTCGGCCGCCCTGACACTGCCATCTCTGCCATCCAGGTCAGGCTCGACCTGCAACTGTCATAACAACAGCCGGGATAAACATCATTTTCTCATTACCCCAACACGACAGCTCGGCTCGTCTTTAAGAGTTATGTCCCTTTATTAGAGTATGGGTCGTCTTTTAGAATTATGCCCCATTGTTAAATTATGGTTCGTCCATAAGGGTTATGCTCTATTGTTAAATTATGTTTTGTCTTTAATGTTATGCCTCATTTGATAACTTTGATTTGTCTTTAAGAGTTATGCCGCATTGTTAAATTATGATTTCTCTTTAACCCTGCTCTGGTACCACGGGGTCTATATGACCCCAAGCCCTCTTTGGACCAGATTATTTTGAAAACTACCACGTTTAGTGACCTCACCTGCCATGTATTTTTTTGTAAGGCCTTCCTAAGTACATTACACATGTTTGATAGTTTTAAAGTATTACTGATTATTTATTATTTAGATTTTTGTTCGCTTAGGGCTTAGGGTCATATAGACCCCATAGTACCGTCAATGTGAAAAAGATATTTACCTCTAAATATACCAACACAAACAGCAAGCACCACACATTCTCATCCAGGACTACGCTAGAGAGTGTTACATGTGTCCCAGATCATGTGTCAAGTAAAGCAAACTAGTCTGAAATGACTGTAATTATTTGGTATGCGAAGAACATACAAAGTTATTACACAATCAATGCCAGCAATAGCAATTTGCATACAGTGGTTAAAATAACAAAAATTTTCTCATGGATCTATGCAATATTTATTTGGACGTACTAACACATTATCACCTCTTATTAGGTCAAGGTAAACAATAAATAATAAAAGAATGCGGTTATTCTGGTCAAAAAGCCTATTTTTCACCATGGGGTCAAACTGGCCCCATGGTACCAAAATGGTAATTTTTTGTAAGGTACCAGAGCAGGGTTAAGGGTGTGCTCATTGTTTAGTTATAGATGGTCTCAACACCTGATATTCTATTGTTATATGTGTTACGTTTTGAACAAGTACCATTGTGACAAAATTTAAAAAAAACTGATTACATTAACACATGTTGCCACATCTACTGAATACATTAGCACAGCTTTATAACAGTACTATGTAACAATGGTTATAGGCTACTGTTTAGCACATTATATAGGCATACTGTATCCTTATGAGTAATATGGCAAATATTGTTAATCTTAATGATATGATATCTTAATAACTAACAGCGTAACACAGAGGCCCCTCCTATATCCTGATGACTAAAAACAAGCTATGTTGTAATTAACTAGCGTAACACTGACTAAATCCTAAGGACAACCACATACCATATTGTAATGACAACCATAACACAGACTATATCCTACTGACAACTACAGACCGTAACGTAATGACAACCACAGACATATATCCTAACGACAAATACAGACGTATATCCTAATGACAATGACAGACTTATCCTAACGACAACCACAAACATATCCTAATGACAACCACAGACATATCCTAACGACAACCACAGACATATCCTAACGACAACCACAAACATATCCTAATGACAACCACAGACATATCCTAATGACAACCACAAACATATCCTAATGACAACCACAGACATATCCTAATGACAACCACAGACATATCCTAACGACAACCACAGACATATCCTAACGACAACCACAAACATATCCTAATGACAACCACAGACATATCCTAATGACAACCACAAACATATCCTAATGACAACCACAGACATATCCTAATGACAACCACAAACATATCCTAACGACAACCACAAACATATATCTTAACGACAACCACAAACATATATCTTAACGAAAACCACAGACATATCCTAATGCCTACTATAACCACACACATCATCTACCAACCCAGACATACCAACACCACCACCATACGAATGAAATCAATACCTACATCAAAGCTCCTCTGCCCTGCAGGCTACATCTAATTAGTTTTATTATTTGGGTTAACGCGCCTGTTTTTTAAATCATCAAAAAAAATCTCAGCAGTTGAGTTGATTTTATTCCGTTTGAATTCAACTTATGAGCGTTTTCATTTCACCATTGGTAAGGTAGTTGATGCTGTGATGAGGGGGAGTCAGTAACAAAATAATAATATGTGAAATAATGAAGGGTTATTTCACTTTTATTTCTACTTGATCTTCGCGAGATTAAACGGTGTTTGATTCAAAGTTTAGTGGTATTATCATAGACCACACTGAGTGATGTTTTGGTAATTGGGGTAATTGGGTTAATGACTAAATGTTTATTTATTTGTGTTTGTATTGAGTGGGTGGGGGAGGAGACGGGAAAACTTGATGTTTGTTGAAAAATGATACTTGAAAATAACCATGTTTTTCCCCCATCACCAATGACTTGATGTTATAGTCTGGGAAAACTAGTCGTTCTGTGGGGGTGAGGGGAGGGAGTTGCATACACACACACACACACACACACACACACACACACACACACACACACACATATACACACACACACAACACACACACACATACACACACACACAAACACACACATATATATATATATATAATATATATATATATATATATATATATATATATATATATATATATATATATATATATATATATATATATATATATATATATATATATATATACAGATACAAACAGATAAATACAGTATAGGTTTCCAAGTCCGTACTGTGAGGGGGGGGGGGGGAGAATGCAGTGCTATGCAGCTCGAGTTCCCACTCCAGTGGTACTAAGTTTGCGAGATGTAACTTATAATTCCTTAGCCTTCCTCCCAAATTCTCTTTCTTTAAATGAAAACAAAAACTCTTACATACATCAAAGACTAAACGGCACGAACAAAATAACAACAAACGCAAATCCTGCTATAAACGTTTCAAACAATTATCACTCGTTTCATAAAACACAAATGAGAATTATACGTTTAATAAATCGTTCACTATTTACCCTGTAAAAATAGTTCACACGGCTGTTTAAATATCATACAAATTTAAGGCTGGATTCTTTGTATAGAATAAACAAAGACGGAGCGTTAATATGGGAATTTTAACAGAAAAAATAATAAAATGGGATAGGTTTAGAGTTGCAGGTTTTTTTTAACCCCTGCTAGATTTAATAGCACGTGAGGGATAAAGGAAAAAAAAACATGCTGAAAGGTGCTGGGTAACATGTTTTTTTTTTTTAAATGTGTAAAAATTATATAAAAAATTTCTTCCTTCGTAGGAATCAACGTGAGTCAGGTAAACTCGATGGGGGAGGGGAAAGGGGTGGGGTGGGTGGAGGGAGTGGGGGGGGTGGAAGCTGATACCGACAACTAATACACTAGTGAACCAAATTTGGTTTTTACATTAGCTTGATTTGGTCAGGAATTGGAATAAAATTAAGATTACCTGGCAATTATTTATTTTTATTTTTTTACTGCTAGAACTGGTAAATATATATTTTACAAATTAAAAAAAAACAAATTCAAGTATTGTCCCTTTCATTTAAAGTCCAGTAACTCTGAGAACATAAGAGGTGTAAGCAGCGGCTAAGTGTTACGTTTAGGTATCACAGTTGAACTATAGATGAACTATAGATATTGCGCCTGTGTATGTAGTCTATAAATATAGGAGGTGATCTGGTAGAACATAAATAATATATAATTACCTTTGAGAATTTAAACATGATTCCCATTTTTCATTATTCTGTGCTAATAGGTTAAAAATTAGCACGATAAAAAGAGATTTTTTTCTAACTTACTACGATCAAATCATTCCCTTCTATTACAGATTATCCGTAACTGATTCAGTTACACTGCAATTGTATCTGACCACATCTATCCAAGATTAGCAGTATCGGCTATCTAATTAAAATTAGCCATTTTTTGACCCCATATATCACAGAATGACCACATCTAATCCCATCTATCCTAGATTAACTATCCCTAACCTCATGTATCATTGATTAACAATTTTTTACTCCATCTATCCCAGATTAACGATATCTAACCCTATCTGTCCAGGATTAACCAGATTTAAACGTTATCTTCCCCAAGTTTCAATGTATTGACAGACCCCGTACAATCGGCCTTTGTCCTTATCGTTGATTTAAAATTGTTCGCGAAACAGACGGAAGAAAAGATCACCCCCTCACCACACACACAAGAAAAGACCCTCCCCTCACCAAACACAAGAAAAGACCCCCCCCCCTCACCACACACAAGAAAAGACACCACACACACAAGAAAAGACCCCCCCCCCCCCTCACCACACACAAGAAAAGACCCCCCCCCTCACCACACACAAGAAAAAACACCACACACACAAGAAAAGACCCCCCCCCCTCACCACACACAAGAAAAGACCCCCCCTCACCACACACAAGAAAAGATCACCCCTCACCACACACAAGAAAAGACACCACACACACAAGAAAAGATCACCGACTCACCACACACAAGAAAAGATCACCCCCTCACCACACACAAGAAAAGACACCACACACACAAGAAAAGACCCCCCCCCCCTCACCACACACACGAAAAGATACCACACACACAAGAAAAGATCACCGGCTCACCACACACAAGAAAAGACACCACACGCACAAGAAAAGATCACCGACTCACCACACACAAGAAAAGATCACCCCCTCACCACACACAAGAAAAGACACCACACACACAAGAAAAGACCCCCCCCCCCCTCACCACACACAAGAAAAGATACCACACACACAAGAAAAGATCTCCCCCT